CAACATCCGCTGAGTGGTAATCTCTGACCGCCCAAGTTGATCGCTCCTGTTACCGTGGACAACAGGCGTGATTTGTAGACATGAGAGTTTTTACATACAACGTTTAGGCTGATATGCTCAAACTTAGGTGTTCTGGTTACATTCTTTAGCGCATCAGGTCCCCCATTCGCTGACGTGATTGCTCGTTTCCCGGCGTGCCTTATTGTTTCTCCCAGACAAAGCGGTTTGCCTTAATGCGGTCGGGCGTCTTGCAGAATTACAGGTGCGGTTCTCGACACGCTTGCCTTCCGGCTTCGGCTTGAACCGACCTCTTCCTCGGAAGGATTTCCCTATGGCTGGTCTATCTTGACCGGACGGCTAGTTAGCAGTAGTATGTTCCTTGCCTTCGCGGATAAACGTTCGCGCATATCGTCCACGAAGTGGGTAGCCTCATATCCGACCGCTAGGGCCATGACATCGCTCAACGTTCCTGTATTCTCCAACTTTACTCAGCGGCGTGTGCGATGTTTGAGCCTAGTTAGCGTAGGAGAGAACCTGGTCGAGTATGTACATGCTTTCAACACGGAAGATAGGAGCTGAGTATTCGTCGTTGGGTGTTAGCTAATTCTTGTTACTCAAATACTGACACATATGTCACCTACAAGTCCCGAGGAAGAATCTGTTGCTAATGCTAGTACAATGAAAATCTGTTTCGCTTTGCTACTAACAGAGCATCCGAGCTTACAGAAGGCTACGGAAAAGTCAGCATGTACAATCTGATATCTGTTCCTCATTGTAACCAGTGATGTATGTAATGGAGCCGCTGAAGTTGAGAGTCGTGGACTACGTTGTGCTCACTGGGTACCTAGCGCATGTGGATGCCGAACTGTATGGACCAGTTCCTCGACTTGGTATTCCGGCGAATCTCCATTGATGACGACGGCGTTCCATACATACACGCCTTCTGTCGCAGACAATCCGTACCCTGCAACATTAGCAACTCGACGCTCCATGTATGTTTTTTTTCTTCTCCTTCGAGATCAATAATAGGCCGCTTTAAAGACCTCACAGGTGTCTTTGTGACCAGTTGAACGAGTAGACCGACATCGTAGGGATCTGAGTCGCGTATCAGTCCTCCCTGGAGTGCTCACTGTACGGCCGATGCCGGTTCACGAGGGTAACT